CCCCCCCGGGCTTTGAGGGTTGATGATTTATGTAGGAGGGCGTGGACCGGCTTGGAATGAGGCCTCACTTTGGCGAATGCAGGATTTAATAGCGCACAGGCCGGGGCGGGGCGGGAGCTTTGCTGTGTCACCCTCCGGAGCAACAGGAAGGAAGCAGGACAGGAAACTCAAGAGGAGGCAGAACAGAACCAGCACAGACTGGGCTTGAGGGTTTCACCTGGTTCCAAACCGAGTGGCCACGTGAGGCCACGGCCCAGCCTCCAGGCCCTTTGCTAACAGCCCCGTGGACCCATGTGACGGCGCCTCCCACAGGGCCCAGGGGCTGAGTTGTTGGCTCCTCACCTGGGCCCGTCTCTTCCCTCCAGCGTCGTGATTCCACCTGAAGGTTCCCCGTTACTTGAAGGGGTGCTCTTGCCACCTTCGGTGAATGGAAATTGCCACCGACATCTGTTGTCCTTGCCACTTGTCACCAGCCGCCCTCTGGGAGCAGCAGCCAGCGTTTCCTTTGGGGCCTACTCCTCCCCAACTGACGCCCATGACCCAGGAGACCAAGCAGATCCCCCCTTGGGGCTGCAGCGGGCCGTCACCCACGGCTTGAGACCCCGGCACTGTCCGAGTCTCAGCTCTCTGTGAGCCCCGTTTGCCCGCCTTTCCTTCCATTCCTGGAGCTCCCCTCATATCTCCAGTAACCACCCCCTCCCTCCCCCCGTGGCTTGAGGTTGCCGAGACATTCTGGGCTCGCGACCAAAGAACTCTCTTTTGGCTTCTCGCTGCTGAGCAGACACATGTGCGCCCGCTGTCCCTGCCGGGTTTAGAGCCTCTTTTTGGAAGGAGGCTCACGGAGCCAGCAGGCCCCTCTCACCTGGTCTGCTGCACCCCCCAAGCCGGAGGAGGCAGTGTCCCCTGCAGGCCTTCCCCTCTGTCCTGGGTTTGTGGGTCCCCTTCCCTCGGGGGGGGGCCTCGAGGGGCCCCACGCTCGCCCTGAGTGGGAACGCGGCTGCAGGAAGGAAGGACAGAGCCTGCAAACATTTTAATAGGAAGCAGCTTTGAGGGCAAACCAGTTCAGCTCCAGAGGCGAACCGTTTCCAAATGTGTTTAACAGGACACTGACCGTGTTCGCAGGACATCGTAAGTTCTGATCCAAAGGCAGCCTTTTGTCTGTGCCGTCCCCCGGTCCCCCGNNNNTAGGGGAGAGAGAGAGAAAGGGGGGGAGGGAAGAGCGATTTGCTTGCTTTGGGCCCGAGTCCGAGGCAGCAGTCCTGGGGATGTTCTGGGGAAGACGAGAGGGGCGAGTTGCTGTGTTACAGCTGCTCCTCCAGCTGTGTTGATCAGCAAACACACCTGGAGAAAAGCATCTGTCTCCACCCCCACCC